TATTGTTTCTTCTAAATAAGGTTAGGGGACAATTCAGCTGCACAATACAACAGCTGACCCTTTGGATATAGACATGAGCAAGATACTTACAAATATCATATAATTAAAATTATATACCATTATATGTTTATATGTTATATGTTTACATGTTATAAAGTACCGTAGAGATAATCTTTCCGTGATAAAAGAAAATAAAAAAAATCGAATAGTTTACCACTAGAACAACGAAAAATATAGAGAAGTTCCAGCTTCTAAAACGGGCATCATACTTATGGCATGCGGGCTGAATGTTTCTCTCTGGTTGGCCATAAAAGGTACGTAATATCAACCAGGTATGTGCCTTTGTTGGTCCTCAAGAAGAGTGCTGGCGTGAAGATTGGCCCGCGAACGGTTTTGAGGTTGACATTCTGCTCTGATATATAGGGTAATTTTAAAAATATTTTTCCAACAGTTGTTCCTAGGACATCGAGAAATGGAAACTCGAAATTTACTACGGTATTTTTTTCTCAAGAAGGAAATAACGTCATAAATAGCCGAATTCTTTGAAAGTACTTGGTATTTCTTACGACATACTGAATACATATGCTTTCTCTGATATGTTAGTATAAATACAGACGATAACCCAGAATCAGGTATATGTATATATATATATATATATATATATATATATATATATATATATATATATATATATATATATATATATATATATTTTTTTTTTTTTTTTTTTTAACAGCCATTCATTCCACTGCAGGACATAGGCCTCTCTCAGTTCGGTATTGAGAGGTTTTATGGCAGTATCACCCTTGCCTGATTGAATGCCCTTTCTAATCAACCGCGGTTCGGCGCGTTAACACTTGTGCCACGGCGGTGACTTCCCCTATGACACCTGCGTTTGACTTCTCAAGGCGATATGTCGTTTTCTCGGGCTCAAGCAAGCAGTCAGAGCGCAGGCATTTTTACGACTGCCGCGACGGGGAATTGAACCCGGGACCACAAGGGTTGGAGTCCAGTGCTCTAACCACTGAGCTATCGCGACAGTATATATATACATATATATATATATATATATATATATATATATATATATATATATATATATATATATATATATGTATATATATATATATATATATATATATATATATATATATATATATATATGTATATATATATATGTATGTATACAAGTTTGTGTGTATATATGTATAGATATATACATATATATATATATATATATATATATATATATATATATATATATATATATAAGTATATATATAATTATATATAATTATACATAATTATATATACATACATACATACATATATATATATATATATATATATATATATATATATATATATATATATATATTTATATATATATATATATTTGTGTGTGTATGTTTGTGTGTGTGTGTGTGTGTGTGTGAGTGTGTGTGTGTATGTG